GTCAAGATGGCCTAATGGTTAGAGTGCTGAACAAGAACCCAAGAGGGATTGGTTCACGTCTTCACTTGGCGATGGAAACTCAACATTTACCGAACACCTCACATACATTGACTATTCTCAGTCAGAAGTGATTCAACAGCACATAGTAATCTTTTACTACATGGCTAAGATCAAAGAGGAAAAGCATGGTGCAAGTACAGTGACGTTAGCATCCTGGAAGTACCAGACACTTATTATGTTATAAATGTAATTATTTGTTAAATATTTGCAAGGAAGCAAAAGATTGGATTTTCAACCGTAATTTAATTCTGCTAGAAGCATATTTTAATTATTACCAACTCTTTTTTATACCCAATAGTTCTGACTATCCAAAGAGCCAATGTAATTATTTATCTTGTTTTGTCTTATTCCTATACATTGAAGCATGTTGATAAACCAGGGATTGTTGGAGAAAGAAAAGGCTATCAAATTGTATCCTACTCCCCTATGCCTCTTGTTATGAATAAAACATGCTGACATTCAAGTTTGTACTCCAGAATAGATAGTGTTTGGCAGTTAGGAAAAGCTTATTGCGTTCATCAAGCTAGATTAAAGAAGGGAAAATTTATAGCTGTAATACTAATTGCCTGTTTGAAACACTATAGATCAAGGAACTGATAATAAGGACTCTCATATGCCAAGAAAAGTAAAAGGTATTTAGCCCTGCATTAGTCTCAGAATAAATTTACTGGCTGAAATCTTGTTGCTTAGTGCAGTCCACATTGTAACTTTCATTCTGTTTCTCCCTGGTACACAAAGCATGGCTGCCATCATTCCAAGAGGTCCTGTGTGCACCCCTCTCCCTTAAGAACCAGGGACTGTTTATTTAGGTGGAGGAATGGACCAAAAGTTACAAATTAACTTACACTAAGCAACATGATTTAAGCTACTCATTTTGTAATTGCCCTTCCCATTCACATATTCTCATAAGAGTTAATTCAGTCACTGTATTCATAGAAATAGTAAGCTTTGCAGAAATGTATCTGTTGGCCATATAATTCTAGCTGTGCACTCTTGCTTAATTCCATAATTTGTATTGTGAGTGAAAATACTGTCTCATGATTGCTTTTCCTCATACATAAAGAACATTCATTGCCAGATCATAACTTCTTCCTAGTGAAAACAGCAGTTCTCATCTTTTGTATTTTCATATGCTAACTATTGCTTTCAAGTTTTTATCTTGTGCATTCTTATTTTCCATGCTGTTTTTTGAAGTAGATTTCGGAGTTCTCTGTCTCCAAATTAATTTGCCATAGGTACTTGTAACATACAGCTCTGCTCTCACCTGTCCATCACAGCTGGGCAGGGGAACATCAGCCAATGAGAGGACGGAGGGTGGTGCAGAAGGGGGAGGAGCTGGATTATATAAGGGGTGTGTGTGATGTGTGAGGAAGAGTTTTTGGAGTTTGGGTGATGAAATAAATTGTTAGAGAGAGAGAGAGATTTGTGAGAGATAGTCAATGAGGGAAAAGTCTGTGTGAGGTACATTAAAGGAGAAACTTGATTTACAACTTGATTTACTACCTGTGATTCACTCCTTTTTATTTTGCCAAACCAATAAACAAAGTTTTTGTTTTGGAAGAAACACTTGTCCTTTTTGATTACTGAATAAACTTTGGTGGCAGCAGTAGAAGAAGAGTAGTGAGCACTCTAGGAGGCCTGTATTGGTAGAGGCTTCAGAGTGGCCTGCTACAGTACTGTTTTCTCCTTTCTTAAAAATGGTTGTTCTTTCCATTTTGCTGTCTATGGCAAGTTCTTAAAGAAATGGGAGTGCCTGACCACTTTATCTGTCTCCTGAGAAACCTATATGTGGGACAGGAAGCAACAGTTAGAACTGGTCATGGAACAACTGAGTGGTTCAAAATTGGGAAAGGAGTACGGCAAGGCTGTATATTGTCCCCCAGCTTATTTAACTTATATGCAGAATACATCATGCGGAAGGCTGGACTGGAAGAAACCCAAGCCGGAATTAAGATTGCCGGAAGAAATATCAACAACCTCCGATATGCAGATGATACCACTCTGATGGCAGAAAGTGAGGAGGAATTGAAGAACCTTGTAATGAGAGTGAAAGAGGAGAGTGCAAAAAATGGTCTGAAACTCAACATCAAAAAAACTAAGATCATGGCCACTGGTCCCATCACCTCCTGGGAAATAGAAGGGGAAGATATGGAGGCAGTGTCAAATTTTATCTTCCTGGGCTCCATGATTACTTCAGATGGAGACAGCAGCCCTGAAATTAAAAGGCGCCTTCTTCTTGGGAGGAAAGCGATGACAAATCTTGACAGCATCTTGAAAAGCAGAGACATCACCTTGCCAACAAAAGTCCGCATAGTCAAAGCTATGGTTTTTCCTGTTGTGATGTATGGAAGTGAGAGCTGGACCATAAAGAAAGCAGACCGCCGGAGAATTGATGCCTTTGAATTGTGGTGCTGGAGGAGGCTCTTGAGAATCACCTGGCCTGCAAGGAGAACAAACCTATCAGTTCTAATGGAAATCAACCCTGAATGCTCACTTGAAGGACAGATCCTGAAGCTGAGGCTCCAGTACTTTGGCCATCTCATGAGAAGAAAAGAGTCCTTGGAAAAAACCTTGATGTTAGGAAGGTGTGATGGCAAGAGGAGAAGGGGACGACCAAGGATGAGATGGCTGGACAGTGTCTGCGAAGCAACCAACATGAACCTGACACAACTCCGGGAGGCAGTAGAAGACAGGAGGGCCTGGCGTGCTCTGGTCCATGGGGTCACGAAGAGTCGGACACGACTAAACGACTAAACACACGTCTATGATGCTGTTATGGATGTGAAAATCTACTTCTGCAGGATACCTGGATGGATGGATGTGTCAGATTAAGAGGTTACATTTTTGTCTTGCACCTCCTTCAAGAAATTCTAAGTGGCATTTGCATGCAGCCCCTATCCTGTGGTGTGTGTGTGCGCGAGCTTATGCACACATTTATGCGCTTTGCAAGGGTTTTATATGCAGGAAATATAACAAGAGCTTTCAAAAGCCTTTTTTAAATGAAACATGCTAGAAAATTATCACTATGTGCCCTCAATTTGTTAGTGATGTTTGGTGACACTATGAATTAGAGACCTCTATCAAGTTCTATCATTGGCACGTGTGTTTAGGTCTTGCAACCTAAGGCGATGGCTTCCTTTATTGAGTCACTCTATCTTACATGTGGTCTTTTCTTCCTGCTTCCTTCAACCTTTTCTATCATTATTGTCTTTTCCAGTGGGTCTTGTCTTCTCACGATACACCTCAGTTTAGTCTTTTTCTTTTTCCTTTTACTTCTACGAGAGCGAGTTCTGGGTTGTTTTGATCTGTGTGTGTGTTCAGTCATTTAGTCGTGTCCGACTCTTCGTGACCCCATGGACCAGAGCACGCCAGGCCCTCCTATCTTCCGCCTCCCGGAGTTGTGTCAAATTCATGTTGGTTGCTTCGATGACACTGTCCAACCATCTCATCCTCGGTCGTCCCCTTCTCCTCTTGCCTTCACACTTTCCCAACATCAAAGTCTTTTCCAAGGAGTCTTCTCTTCTCATGAGATGTTTTGATCTAGAATCCACCTATTTGTATTCCTGGCAATTCATAAGTTTTTTTCCTGTTAGCTTTTTTTCACTGTCCAGCTTTCATATCCATACATATCCATGGAAATATGTATTATATTTGTGTGTGTGTGTGTGTGTCTGTGTGCGTGTGGTATGAGTGTGTGTATTTTAAATAATAAATATTTTGTTTTGGAAATCAAAGCACACAATTTATATTTAATGATCCTGGTGTAATATTGTTTGTTTATGGAACTTTTATACCACCCCATTAGTGCACAGCACTATTCTGGGTGGTTTACATAAAACAACAAGTTAAATAAAAGCCACAAGAAGGCATAAAGGAACACCAGAAAGCCAGGGTAAGCTTGGAAAGTGGAAAAAGTTAGAAGAGAAGAACAGGAGTGGAAAAGTTAAAAAGAGACTGCCTTCAAAAGCCTCTTTGAAGAGAAGCATCTTCAGCAGCTTCTTAAAGCTAGGGAGGGAGACGGCCAGGTGTAGCTCCACAGAGAGGCAATTCCTATGGGATGGTACCATCACTAAGAAGCCCCAATTTTTTCTTGAATGTTTCCTGGCCTTCTTTGGCGTATTCACCTGAAGGAGCATAGCCTGAGAGGATCTAGTGGCACGAGCAGATGACTTTAAGAAAAGATGCTCTGACAGATAACGTGGTCCCAAATCATGAAAGGCTTTATAGGTTAGTAGCATCAGTACCTTGAACAGGACTCAGCCAGAAGCCAGTGCAAGTCATCCAGGACTGGGGAGATGTGATCAAATCTTCCCATACTTGCCACTAGTCTATCTGCTGCATTCTGGACCCGCTGCAGATTGCCATAATATCCTCTGGAACCTTTTCTGCAGCCTTGTTGTGGAGCTCATGGATCACAGCTTGAGACTGTTCTACAGTAATTTATACCGGCTGTAGTGCTATTCACAACAGTGAAGCACTCTGGGTGGAGTACTCCATCACGATCAAGCAGTTTCTGGCTGCAGTTAAACAAGCCAAAGATTGCCCCATTGGAAACAACAGAACTTTACACTTGCAGAAGAGAATCGTGAATATCTCCTTGCATAGTTGCTAGTAGGACAGTATGGTTGGACATTTCACTGTGCATTTCACGATATGTCTGTGCGGTGGTGTGATCCTATTCTTCTTCTGGCCCAGCAGGATATTAAAGAAAATTCAAAGAAACAAAACAAAACAAGACTAAAACATGTGACACTTTAAAGAATAACTATTATATGTATTTTAATAGGAACTTTCATGGACAGATCTGTAAGTGGCGTTGTTCTTTGGTAGTTGGATCTTGTGTGTAGGTTAAGTATTAAGAATGGAGATGTGGACAAAAGAGTGTCCTGCTTTGAGGCCTTACAGGTAGCCCGTAAAAAACATCCTCTTCTGTTTTTCAGATTCTGGGAAGAAGGGAAGGTTCTCATCTTTGATGACTCCTTTGAACATGAAGTATGGCAGGATGCCAATGAGTCTCGACTGATATTCATTGTGGATGTCTGGCATCCAGAGTTAACACCACAACAGCGACACACCCTTCCATCCATTTAAACGGGCTTGAAGCATTCTTCTGTAAGGTCCATATTTTGTGCTTGGAAGTGCTGCCCTTGCCAACTGAAAGCAAGATTGAACTGTATGAAGAAACCTGGACTTCAAAAGATTGCATTCTGTGTATTATGCCATTATTATCACAGCACTGATCTGATAGCTCTGTATTCATGCTGCAAGCACAGATCTCTACATTTGATCAGCCAAAGAATGTCCTGTGCCATATTTCAAAACAAGACTTGTGCCACTTTTTTGTTATGCCTGTACACTGCTAGGCACAGTCTTGGTGTATTAGCCACCAAAGTAAAGCTTGGGTGTAAACATAAGGCACAGATTTCAAGACACTGTTAATGTGCCAAATTTGTTTACTCAACAAATTTGTTAAGTAACATACTTGTACCATGACAGTGCTTGGTGGATTGTGTCCTGTATCAGTTTTTTCCTTTCTGTCTTTGGAAGGACTTGGGGATTTGTCACACCATTTCAAGTAACACATTGAGATTTAATCTATTTCAGTATTAGCTGTAGATAGAATGGATACTTTTATACTGTATGTTTAATAGATGATTGTATTTTTCTGTCACCTATATAGAGATCCTCTTTTTTTAATTCCTTAATCACTTTCCTGTTGTAATTTCCTTTTTTAAACTTCTTTTCTAAAAATGACTACTCATGTTACTTTATCACCTTTGAAGCCTTTATGAGCAGTTCTTCAGTTTACTGTGTACAACTTTCTCCTTCCAAATTGGATCACAAGTACACACTCATATTGCTTGGTTCCTGGCTAACAGTATTTATTAACCAACCTTGATATCTGTCTACTTCCAGCACAGTCCTTTAAGCCTTATTGAGATGTCTGGACGCTTTCAGTTCTGTAGCTTTGGCCTTCGTGCTTCCAATGCAGTAAAAGCCTTTAATTCAAATCAAAATCAGCAAACTGTGATGGGATAGAGTGCGGTGTGAAGTCATTTTTCTTCCAGTCTTCATATTTCACATAAGTGTATTGCACAGAAAAGAAAATGTGAGGGTACAGTACTCTAGGCATTCTTGAGAAGTGGCAACCACATATTTATGCTGTGGAGTTACCTGAATGGAGAATAAAAAGAGGAAGACTGACCTCCCATTCATAGTTAATGAAAAACAATGATGCTTCTTTGATGCAATCTGTGAGTGCTAAATTCTCTCCCTCCGCATATCTAGCAAGAGTAACCTTTACAGTCTCTGATATGCCACTGGATCACTGCCCAGTGGCAAGCTTTTCAGTTTCCTCTTAGAATTAGTGAAACAGAATGCTCTTTAGTGAATAAAATCTACTCTCCAAGCAGCTTTTGTGAGATTTTCTGAGTTATGGACAGAAATACAAGTAATAACCTGTGGACAGTTATTTCTTTATGACCAAAGTTTATATGATAGCTACGATAATTTCATGTGCAAAAATATGCCAAAATATACATTGTATATTCTACAGATGTTGTAGAAATGTACATTTGAAACTTACAAAGTACTGAGATACTGTTACTCAAATGTGAGGGAAAATTGCTTAATACTGACTTGCCAGTGATTCTATTAGAAAATATTGTTCAAAATGCCACCACTATTTCATAAGATTTAAATCCAATACCTTTTAAATATCTTTGAATGGAAAGTCTTATACTGTACACTGTAGAATGTGTATAAATAACTCCTCTTTCTTTCCTATGTGTTGACTGGAGACCCAAACAGGTATGCATTGTTGCATTTGGAAACCACAGGCTACAGTTTGCTTGTAACACTAATTGATTCAGTATTAGTTTTGTTGCATTTTTGGAAACAAACTACAGTTCTTTTAATGCTAACTGGTTCAATTTTACGTTTATTTCAGTTTTGTCTGGAAACAAAAACTTCATGTAGCAAGGGTATGTGATTGGCAAACAGAATGAAGCAAATCATCTTTAAATGTGTGCCTATAAATATACTGATGTCCATCATGTACAGCTATATATTGTGCATTCAACTTAAGTGCCTTTGGTGAAGTACTGTGGATTTTATATGTTTCTGTTAACAGCTTCAGCACTGAAATAGCTTCCAGATTTTGCCCAGGAAGCAAGGATTTTTGCACAGAAAGCAAGGAATCAACATGTTGGTTTCCGTGTAGCTGCTGGAATAATAAAAAAGCTTACATAAAACCTTGCAAAACAATAAGCAGATATACACTGCCTATATGACTCAACCTTGACCTTTCCCTGTTATAATTCTGTGATAGGTCTGTGTAAAAGTGTCAGTGGAAGAACCACTTCTACAAGTAACAAGTCACACTAATCATGTTACTGGAAGGAATCCTAAGCATCATCCTTGTTAACAGCAAGATTCTTCCAAGCAAGGCCTCTCTCTTTTATTATCTGCTTTCATATTTTGGGATCATTACAATTCACACAAAAGCCTATTTATTTCTCCATTTAAAGATTTATTATTTGAACTGAAATTGCTGATTTGAATGCCCATGGATGCTTTTCCATAACACTTCTTAAAATAATTTTTTGGTTATGAAAATAAATTGCACAGATCTTTAGCTCAGATTTCAGTGTTTCTGCCTTTCTCAAGATTTACAATGCATTTGGTCATTGTTTCTAGAGAGTATAAAGGAGGGCACTTTTCCTGAAATGTATTGGTAAAAACTCATTTTTGCTCTTATGAATCATTTGAAGTTTTAATTGCTGATCCTGTGGACAAACAGCAAACAAATCATTTTGACCAACATAAACAGCAGTTGAGAGTCAGTGGTATTGGTGAAGACCCTGTATTTCACTGAGTAAAGATAAAGCCTTGATTTGCGCATTACTAGGTTTATAAAACTTCAATTATGTAAGCAAAATGAAGTCCAATATTTGTTTGGCCTTTGGGGACAAGAGAAGCTATAGCTGAATTACACTGTCTCTGCAGCAATTCTGTACAAGCAACATCTTTAGCTCTGCACAGTACATTAAACAGCTCCTGAAATATACCCCTAGAAAGGAAATATGAGAATAACACGTCATTGTTTGATTCATAACATATGGCCATGGCTGAATGAGTGTAGCATTATGTGTGAGCACCACTTAAGATAACAAGTTGACCGCTCTATGCATATGGCTTAAATGTCCTTTTTAAAACTAAAGACTGGTAAATGGCTGTTACATATAGTTGTAAAATGGGACTAATATGTTTCCAGCTATTTGAGAAAATAAAAGTTACAGCAAAAATAAACGTTTATAACAGTGGCCTCTTTTTTATTACTATTACTACCTATTTTCATTTCAGTGCAGCGATGGGATTTGTTTCTACAAGTAGAACACAGATGGAAATAGCAAACTGATCTTTGGCATTTTGGTTGTACATTTTCCTGTTCTTCCACAGTTCTTTCTAATGGAGGCATCTTGAATAATTCATCTCAAGTTTTCCCTTTCCATTATAACACCGCCTATATTTGCAGCCGATCAGGCCCTCTGGCTACATCTTTAACTGATTGCCAGAGAGAAGATGGTTAGGCAGCTCTGCTGAACTTTCATTTGCTGGAGTGACCTCAGTAACAGGACTTGGAGTGGAACATTAATCACCAGTAAGTGCATCCTATGAGCTCGGACACCTTCTTTTTTATGGTTTCACCACTATCATATCTACTTCACCTCCTGGAGTTGCCTTTGGAATGGAAAAAGACACATGTTGTTAAAATTAAATCATTGTTTCCCAAATTGCCTGTGCCTGCTTCCTATCCTCCTTACCTCATAGAACTGGCAAGCTTATAAGGATTTTCGAACGTTAAAGATGCATTTTTTTTAAAACTGGGGGTTTGTTGCAGGGGACTAAAATGATTCCTGCCTGAGCTGAGCGCTGACATGACACACTACACAATTGAAATATTTTCTGCTGGTGATTGCTTGGCATTTTTTTTTCCTTTTTTCTTTTCAGTTTTGTAAAGGAAACCCAAACCGGTACGCTCCACATGAGTTAGAATAGAACTGCAATGATTCTCAACCAGTGTGATAACTATACTTCAAAACTGAGCTAGGCCTGTTGTGCTGCAATACTGAATTTTTTTCCTCCTGTTTCAACTAAATTTTAATTTTACAAACCTCGAAATAATGCCTGCATGAAGCAAAATGGGAAAACCTCAATCGATGCCTCTTTAAGTATATGGACATAAAAAGTTGCTGGGACCCCCATATTGGAGTCAGTGTTAATATCATACATCACGAAAGAAAAGGGAAAAGCAAACGCACTCCCTGTGTTACAATCAAATTAATTAGCTCAGTTCTCTGCACCACAAGGAATCTCCCCCCTTTGGATTTGGCCACATGGACACATGGCTGGTGATGATCGTTACTTGCTCTGCAAAAATGGAGAGCCTGGTTTTCAAGCAGTGTGTGTGTTAATGTATATTAAACCTGTCTTTTGCTTCAGAGGCTTTTTCTTTCTTTTTCTTTCTTTCTTTCTTTTTTTGCACCACTGAAGTCTGATGATGCATTCATGTGTCACAATGAATTCCAACTCAGTCTAGAGCTAGCAGTGGCTGGGTGTTCTCGTTCTCATTCTGTTCCTCGTGTTTCAGTGTTCCAGGCTCCACCACTGACTGGGACCTAAAACAAAATGGAGTGATTAGCATTAAGCAATGTGTCTCTGCAATTTGTCTTTGCCAGAATCAAACTATACATTGGACATTTTAAAGGCATGACACTCTCTTACACTATAGACATTTTATATGCTTAGGTTATACCTTTTTTTTCCCCCCTTTGTGTGCCCTCAAGTCCATTCTGATTTATGGTGACCCTGTTCAGGGTTTTCCAGGGAAAGAATACTCAGAAGTGGTTTGGACACTTTAAATTCATTCGGTTCTTCAAAAGAACTCTGGTTTATGAATGTTGGATTTTGTGCTTCTGTATCCATGATTCAAAACACCAGGAAATGGCCCAATAGAGCTGCACAACATCATGGTCACATGATGGATGCCAAGTTTTACATAGCAAAGGGCAGCTTGAATGTTGACAACACCAATACCAGCAGTCAAGATGGTTTACAGCAGCGGTCGCCAAACTTTTTTGGTCTGCAGACCATTGGGGGGGTACAGGCTCCGTGTGTGGACCAGTTGGGGGTGGGGGCACCCCCGTGCTTGCAGGTGGCCATGTCATGCTCACGGAGGGGTGTGTCATGCTCGCAGGTGGGCATGTCACACTTGTGGAGGGGCATGTCATGTTCACAGAGGGGCGTATTATGCTTCTAGGCAGCAAGAGCGCAACATGGCCACCCGCAGCATGTCATGCTCACAGAGGGGCGTATCACGCTTCTGCGCAGCAGGAGCGCAACATGGCCACCAGCGAGTGCGACATGGCTTCCTGGCTTCTAATTTCAGCCCAACCAGGAGTGGGAGCAGCAGCAGCGGCACCTACTTGGCGAGTGTGGGGGTTCCTCCCAAAGCACCTACTTGGCGAGTGCGGGGCTTCCTACCAACCTCATAGGGGCTGGGTCCCACCTGCGCCTCCCCCAAAGCACCTATGCGTCCAGAAAGGGAGCTCTCTCCCTACCCGGCAGTTTTCTCCCTCAGGGGTTTACCTCATAGGGGCTGGGTCCCACTTGCCCCCCCAAAGCGCCTATGCGTCCAGAAAGGGAGCCCTCTCCCTGCCTGGCAGTCTTCTCCCTCAGGGGTTTAGTGCCACCGGGGCTTCTGCTTTTAGCTCTCTCTTCTCTCCCCCCCCCAGCTCTTCGCGAGTCACCTGGCGAGGCTGCTGCTGCTATCATTTCGTCCTCTCTGTGGCTGAGATGAAGGAGGGGCCCCGCTCACAACCTGGCCACACGCTTCTCCTTCCTCCCACCTGGTGCTCCTCCGCTCCCTTTCCAGATGTGCCAGGAGGGGGTGATGCCGAGAGAACAGCCTTCTCGTGCACGCTCCCCTCCCCATCTCCTTTCGCAGCCTGCCCCAGGCTGCAGACCGGGGGGTGGGGACCCCTGCATTAGAGGGTTCGCTCTCTCTCTCTCTCTCTCTTAACTAGAATCTTTAACCTGCTTTCTAAATTTCTCTCTGCTCCAAAAAGATGGAAAGATTTGGCAATTAAAGTTTTCAAAAGGAAAAGCCACTTGTGCATGCCCACAATTCTACCACCTCCCTGCTGCCTGAGTCATTAGAGGAAACAAAAATGTTGGGTGATTGTTAAAGTTGCACATTGTAATATTTTAAATGTACCACTTTAGGTTTCAGGTAATCTCTGAAGCAATAACTGAGCACTATGTGCCAAATTCAGCATAAGATTTGCCACATTTATTGCAGTTAATATTAGGCAGTGATTCATTCATGTTGAATGTCATCTAAGTATTAACTCAATTTTAAAAGTACAGTACAAATTATGTTCTTTATAAGAGTCACTAGCTTTTAGTTTAACAGCAATTCAGTGTAAAAATAGAACAGTTAACTAGAACACTGATGGGAATAATGTTCCCTCTTCTTGAAACTACTAATCTAAAAAGCAAATTAGGGTTAGCAAGTGAGTTCTAGCTGGTTGCAATCATAGTGGCTTTCTTACCAAGGTATGTATTCTTTCCTGTGAAAGAAATGGAAAGGATCTTCACTTTGCAGAAGATTCCATCTTTCAAAGCCTATACTATAAAGCTGGGCAACATGCCCCCCTGTTGTTTTGTAGCAACACTGCCCACTACCACGAGGAAACTGGACTCTTGAAGAAGTCCAGGGAGTGTGGTTTCCTGTGTAAGGCCACGACACACATTGTTTTAAACAAACAAAAATTGTTTTTGAGACCAGAAGTGGACTTCAGGTCACATCTACCTCTGAATGTTGGTGGAGTGCAGGGCTGAGATTTGTAGGTAGCCCATGGCTGGATTTTGCCGGGGGGGGGAATGGTCACTCTCTCTATATCTCTGCTGCACCATATGCAATGAACTGACAGCACGATTGTTTATTTTCGAAAGCCAGGTTACAGAAGAATCATTTTACAATCTCAGCTCATCTAGAAACACAGCAGGAATGAAGAAGAGAATAATGATTCACTTGCTTGTTTAGAGTTTTGTCTATCACAAACCAAATGGGAGGCACCTTCATCATGGTGGGGTGTCACACAGGGAAGTGCAGGAGTGATTTTTTTGCTCTCATTTCACTTTCAGTTCAGGGAATTTTGGGGGCTCCCCTTTTTTGTTTCAAGGTTCTTACCATCTGAATCTTTTGGGTTGTTGTTTTTTTTGGGGGGAGAGAACAGGGCTTGCAACAGGGAGGAAATGAAGAGGGGAAGAGATTGGCATTTGCAGTGCAGAGCCAGTGAGAGGCAGAGGGTAGATAATGGGACTCGTGGCAGGAAAGACGTGACAGGAAGGGAAAGACTTTACATATCTGTGTCAAGTGGAGGTAGCCCAATAGAGGAAAACCAATAAAACCTCATAAGTTTTGGCACCCACTCTTTTGGAATCCTGAGTCTTATGGATTTCAGATGCTCTCAATTGGGAAAGCAATGAAAGATCCTGAAACCAAAGAAAAGGGTCTCTTCCTTGTGTGGTTGGGTGGATGGGTGTTCATTCAAGTTAACCAGAAAGTCCCATCTCTAGTGTCACATTGCCCTACAGCAACCCTTTGGGAGCACACACTCCCTGGCTACTGTTGCTGGAAAAATTCACCAGCAACCTGCATCATATAAAAGCCCTGAGAGAGGGAAAGGCAGAGATTCTTCCCCCAGTTCCATTCGGCATCACTAAAGAAAGTGTCAGGAAGAGAACTGTCACATTTATGGGTGGCAATTTCAAGAGTATCATATCATTTCCAGGGGAATAAGATTCTGCATTCTCTAGCACACAACCAGTTCCTGCTTGCCATTTGGTAACCCTAGATGTGTCCAGGCATTTAACTATGGGGTCTAGTGAAAGATCTAAAACCTTGTCTTACTGGCCAGAGCTAAACAACACACATTCTGTCTTGTCACTCTTTACTTTACTTTTTACTTTACTTTAATTAGATTTATACCCTGCCCCTCTAGACCAGGTTTACTCGGGGCTGCTTACATACATAAAAATATTACAAACAAAATCTTAAGGCATTAAAAGCATTAAAATATCAAAATTTTAACAATTATATAAAAGCCTTGCCAAGATGGAAAGATTAAAGAAAAAGTAAAAACAGTTTAATTGACTGGAGGGAAAGCCTGCCTAAAATACCATGTTTTCAAGTGGTTTTTAAAAACATCCAGTGAAGGTGCCAGACGAATTTCTGTCGGGAGGCTGTTCCAAAGCTGAGGGGCCACTGCCGAGAAGGCCCGGTTTCTTTCTTTCCGGGCCTCTCTGGGCGTTAGGCTGCCCAGCCATCCCTGCTGGCTTTGTTGAGTGATTCGGGTAGAACTAGGTGGAAGAAGACGCTCTGCCAGGTATCAAGGTCCCAAACCGTTTAGGGCTTTGTACGTCATCGTTAATACTTTGAAGTCAATGCGGAAACTCTCTGAAAAAGTTCAAATTTTGCAAAGGAAAGAACTACAGCTGAGGGCAACAGAATGCGTATATGTTAAACAAATAATGGTGGCTGTCTTGGAGAAGTAGCTTTTATCACAAAGGAAACATAAGGGCTTATTCTGTGTTCTGTCACACTATCAACAGCTGACTGTTATGTGCTGTTGATGAGGAAGCTAACTCCTTTGCACAAGCTCTACTACTCTCTTTTGATAATTAAAAGTGGAAAATATGCCCCAAAGGCCATATGCAGCCAATGTCTTAATTTTGCAGCCTATCTTGCTCTGCAGCAAGAGCAATTTGCCTTTGCCACAGAGGACTTGGGGGAGGGGTATAGAAAAAGAAGGGGTGCCCCAGCCTTTATCAGCATGTAGCTCCCAATATGTTGCACCTTACTTCTAGGACATGCAGTTGTGACAGGAAAAAAGCTTCCCTAACTCTAAGGGATTCTGTGAACCATTATTCAAGAAGCTAACACTTCCATGTTCTGAATTATTTAGCCTCTTCACATGAAATATTTTTCTGCACTTATAGTCTATATAGTGATAGTGAACCTGCAGATCTCCAGATGCTGATGAGCTACTACTCTTGTCAGCACTTATAACTGCACAAGATAAGTAGGACTGACTGACTTATTATATATTTATTAGTTTGCTATCTTATGTTTCCTCCAGTGAACACAAGATAGTACAGTATATGTGGCTCACTTTCTCAAACAGCTTCATGGCACAGTGGCTAAACTGCAATACTGCAGTGAAGACTCTTCTCATGATCTGAGTTTGATCCTCAGCTCAGATAGCTGCCTTGAGGTTCACTCAGTCTTCCATTTTTCAGAGGTTGATAAACTGAGTACCCAGCTTGCTTGGGTACTCATAATTAAACTGTATGAACTGTAAACTGCCTGGAGAGTGCTTTATGCGCTTTAGGGTGGTATATAAGCAACACACTTAGTTTTCTGCCCACTTCCTCTTCACAACAACAACAACAAGTGCAAGGGAGATTAAGTTGCAAGCAAGGGATTGGCCCAAGATTAGACAGTGAGTTTCATCTCTCTCCACAAGATTAGAACCTGGTTTCTCCAAGTCTTAACCCAACATTCAAAGCCCTCCACCACAACGGATGCTGTGAACTGAAGTCAGGTGACAAC